CTTCGTAATCCTCCAGTATCTCGGTCAATGGCGGCAACAGACTTGAGTTCCGTCGCAACTGTCGCCTTGTCTGTCAAGTGTTTCTCCAGACTAGACCCGGAAACAGTACTGAGAGGATTATTTATAGGCAATGTCTCAGCCTCACAATTCCTCAGAGTATTGCTGTTTTCACGAGCCAAACCTAACTTTATTAAACGTCTCATTTCGTTTATTTATATCGATATTTAAACGATACTTAGAATTTACCTACGCGTTTATTTATTCTAAGGTATTAGTATCTCCTTTGTTAGACCGAATTTTACAACATTTGATCCTTGTGGAGCGGGTGGAGATAATAGTTAACTAGTGTATCAATATTCGGCTTCTGTGGAAAGTAATGCAAGATGTTCTCTCGAAGTCTAACGCGATAAGCCAGTATTGCCTCAGTTAGGGTTTCTTCGCTTGTAATCTCGTATTCTTATTTTGGCCCCGTTGATTTGGCCACTTCGATACTAATATCATCCCCCAAGAGAAGTTTGCAATCGAGTACATGTTCCATGGAATCCGCCAAGATGTCGTTCGCAGATTGTATATTCATCTGGCACTGCATCAATGGGCGAGTACTTGCTAAGAATTCTCGCCGTACGTACTTCGCGTATATGTTTTGTGCTTTTGAATTTATCTCTTTGAATCTTGCCTCTTGCGGTGCCCCACAGACTATCAGTCCCTGGTAAACTCTCTTTTGGATCATCTATCCTGGATATCAGGATAATTTAGATCGTCTCTCTTGACCATTAAATACAAAAGTGCAACATGTCGGATACAGGTTTACTATCGTAAGCACGAAAAAGACCTGATCCGAACCACAGAGGTAGGTACGCTATTTAGTAGGTCAGAAAGCGAATACGTGACACACTCGATGGTGTCAGAATTTTGTAAGCACCGGCCTGAATTGACCCAGCGCATATCCTTCATTGTCGATTCACTTGGTCCAAGCTTCAACAGGGAAGTTACTGACCATTTCTTCCCATCTATCTTCCCCGAACCACTATAACGGCTATGAGAGCCATATCATATGTACAAACATTGTAACTTAACTCCTTTGAAATAAATAATATTATCCCTATCGTAAGCTGGTGTATTCACATCTTTCATAGCTTCCTGGTTGTATGCGTCTAAAAGATTCTCAAAGATATTGAGTTGCTTTTCTACACTTTCTTTGTGTAGTCCCTTTTTGTTGTACTCGAATACCTCTCGCATTTTGTCGGTTGCTGTCACTAACGAACCTCCAATAGAAATTTTCAATACTAATGCTACACGATGTGCACTGCATCCTAATACAAAGTTTGCACATAGCCATTCTGTTTGGATGAATTATCTGATGTCGCACTATGTATTATCTGTCGCATGTCTAGTTTACCATTAACACTATTTTCTTTTCCAGCTCGAAATGTTGTATTTTGTTTTCTGATAGCATTTTCTAATATCAGCAAATACTTCCGTATTGTATCAGGTGTTGCAGGTGTGTATTGAGAGTGGGGATTCGTAGGCACCGCCAGTGCTGCGTTGATCCATTCCCTAAGCTCGGGTTTCCTTTCGAGTTCAAAAGAAAGATCTTTTTTGCAACACATCGCACCTAAAAGCAGAACTATAGTTCATACGTGGTCGCTTGCTGGAAGAACCAAAACCCATAATACTCTGCTGCCACCCATTCTTGTTCGCTTGCTTCTTCAGTTGTCTGGTGACTAACTTGCTAATATCATCATAACACTCTTTATCGTGCTTTTATTTCCGTAATGAATGATGGTGTTATTAGCGTTCTTACGGTTCCAAACATACATCCTGTCGTTATCACAATATCTACAGATGGCCTTATTGCAGTCATTTTCGTCTACTTTAAACTTTGTAGCCGCGAAATCAAGTTTTTTTTGTAGCCGCGAAATCGAGTTTTTGTATCTTAGTGAACCCTCGGTAGAACTTTAAATAACTATACTGTGACCCACTTACAGCGTCAACATTGATGAGTTCCTTGTACACTTTGGATGTTGATTGCACTTTTCTTTGTGCTTGACTGCACGTTTTCAGAGCTCGCCGTGTCCTTTCCAGTCGGTGGGCTGCTGACTGTCTCTGTAGCTGCCCTTCCCTCGGGATCCTCACTAGTTGCCGCCATACTAATCTACAATCCGACGTACAATATATCTAACTATAGAAACGAAATAAATTTACACTCTGATTACTGAACATACTAGATATATGATTTTAGTCACCATGTGAGCGAAAATAAGATAAAATAAGAATGTATCCCGTTTCTTAAAAAAAATATAATATCGGGATCTGCTTATTTCGTATGAAGAACATAATCGGCCATATTCCTATTTTCTTAATTAAGAAATAAAATATTTCTTAAAGTCCGACTAAGTGCTACATACTTCTTAAATTCCTAATTCCGAAATTTGATTTCCTTACGTAAATCTTAATTTTAAAAATCAGGAATGGACCTTAATACGTATTTCTTACAAAAATTACGGCAATTATTTCTCTTATATTTTTATGTTAATAATGGCATGGTAGCTGGCTATAGGCTGTTGAAGTGTCGAGTCACTCGAGTGTCGGGCTGTCGGGCTGTCGGCTGACTCGGCTGACTCGGCTCACTCTTACGGCTATAGCCGGCTACCTGCGTCCTGCTGTACCATTTTAAAAAGCTGTAGTACATATGTATGTACCTATAGTCCCCTGTATTTTATTGAAAAACACGGACAGTGTCAGTCTGTCAGACTGTCAGTCACTCGGTGGAATAGTAAATAGGTTTTTAGGCGCCTGTCAGTCTGTCCCTGATTCGTTCTTGCGGGGGCTCTTTCCAGCCGTAATTCGGGATCCTAGTTTGAATACTCACGAAGTCACGAGTCTTCGACAGGTCGCAGGATTCCAATCCAGACTCCAGAGTCCAGGGTATCGAGGTCAGTCCAGGAGTCCAGGACCCCAGGGCCCAGGACCGAATTTTATTAGCGGGGCCGGGGATTTTACTAAAATATTATTTAAATACATATTTACATAGCCTGAAACTTCGTCTCGTCATATTTTTTTGAAACAAGGGTTTTGAATCCTGAAAACGGCTGAAGACAGTCCTGAACTCTGAAAAACTCTTGTGAACTTCTGCATTCTCTGACCGCTGACTCGCTGTCGCTCACCTCCAGTCGCCGCAGTCCCCCTCTCCATCTCTACTACTAGTAGTAGAGCTGACTACTAGAGCTCTCTCTGAGAGAGAGTGTGTGTGTCACTGACTCACTGTGTCAGACATTCAGAGTCGATCAGACTTCACACAGTATTTTTTCTGTGTCTATATTAAAAAAAGATTTTATATGTATCACAGTGTAAATATATAACAAGTACACAAAGGTAGCCTTCTAAAAATATTTATTAAAAAAACACATATTTGACATGTATTGTTAAAAAAACGAGTTTAATATAAAAAAAACAATTAAAGGGGATTGTTGTAAAAGCATGCTATAGCTCTATAGCCATGGTCTGATTGCCTAAATTGTATGTATATTATTTTTAAATATTACATCTACAATAAAAAAATATAAACCAACAAGGTATAAAAAAAAACTAAAGGATTGCCGTTCTGTTTCAATCTATTTAGGACTATGGTTCGCATTTTTTTTCATTTTTTAAGGGGCAGGCCAAGAGTGTTTCAGGTCTTTTGGGAACTTTGTATTTTTTTTTGACGTCACTCTGAAATTGTAAAATCCAACAAAAGTATTTTTTCTTTTATTATAAAAAAGGAAAAAAATGAGAAATATTTACTTCATGTCTTTAGGGTTACCCCACGCACCCCCCCCCCCCATTGATCATTAGATTTTTGGTTCATTTTGTACTTTTAAAATTTTTGTATACGTTAGGCACAATTTGATAATATAATACACATTGGCCAACGATATCATGTATGTCGAGCTAAAATATTTGATGTCGTAAACGATAAAGAAAAAAGAGAGAAACTCTCCCTATACATACTATATAAAATACAGTCACATTTTGTTTTGTAAATATCGAATAGGTTATTTCAATTACGACAATAGTAGGGTTTAGGAATCTACAAGGTACTAGGGCAAAATTCGGGTTCAAATTGTATTTGTTCCCCCCCCCCCCCCTTTGTATTTTGGGCCCAAAATGAACCCAAAAACAAAATAGCACATCCTATCCCCCTTATAAATACAGAGTACAATCAATACTTATTGAATAACTGATATTTATTTTACTCCCTTCTTGTTTTGTGTCAGTGTGAACTAAAAACTGTAATACTGATGAGCTGTGACGCCGGTGAGTCTGTGAGACTGAGACTGTGAGTCTGTGAGTCTGCGAGTCTGTGCCACTGTGCCACTGTGAGTCATGCCTGACAGAGTGAGGGCTGAGTCAGCCGGAGTGCCTGAGGGCCTGAGAGCTTGAGGCTGCTCACTGAGATTCTGAGAATGCTTTATGATTTTATGAATAGAAATAGCCTTCTGAATTCAGCACAAGAAGAGAGGAGAACTTGAGAAGGCTATGGAGAATGTGTCAATGTCGATAATTATTTTTTTACAAAATATTTATTTCATATGGGTCCAAGACTTAAGACTCCAAGACTCCAACTCCACAAGAGAGAACACAGTCCAGAAGGACAATTTATAATAATAATAAATTCTGGGCCCTCCTCTCCCGGCTCCTACCTGAGTTGAACTTCTGACCCTGAACCTGGGGTCTGGGACCTGGAGGCTGGGGCTTGGGGACTGGGGCTTGGGAACTGGGGTCTGGGGGTAATAAATTTTTGGTCACTTTGACTTGTGCCGAAACTTCTGGAATCCGGATCGATTTTTTTTACATGTCCCCGCACTCATTTGGTACTTTTTCCGAGGCTAATAGCCAATCATAAGTTGTCTATTTATAAACTTGTTGATTTTCGACGACTTTGTATGCATACTCCTGAAAGTTGAAAGTGGTATATCACTGATCAGGCGGAGACCAGAGGCCCATAGCATACTACATGAATATTATGTACCCTCGATTTAGAGTATAGGGTCTATGCAATATACATTATACAATGCACATATAAAACACACTGGAGACGCAATACGTAGTTGCATAATAGTACAAACTACAGATATTATAGAACCAAACACCCGCTGCGCTAGTGCCATCCCGGCTGCCTATCAATCTCTTTCTCATCGGATATGTTCTCTCTTTTTCGTACCAAAACGAGCTATGATATGGCCTCGGAAGCTGCTGTGAACGCATCCGGCAGCAGTAAGCATAGCAAACTCCCCGTACGTCCCTGGCCCTTCCTAGCGTCAGCCTCCAAGAACGCGTTACCTCGTAAGTCGTGCCCGGCTGTCTTACTTGCCAATCCAAACTTTGCTGATCAATCAGGAAGACGAGTGTTTTCTTCGGGTGCGAATGCCAATGGCGCTCAAATTGCGGCGATGAGTCAGGCAAAAGCTTCTAACAATCTCCCAGGGGACTATGCTTTGTACCGGAACAATAGCGAGAGTGACTCAGAACAGTCTAATTGCAGCGTGGAGACCAGTCCCGCACACTCCCCTACGGTTAGTATGATGTTCATGCAAGGAACGGATCCCACAAACGAGATCAGGCGTCAGGAAAGTAACACCCTGGCGGAGTATGGTCTGGATATAACTGTCGGAAGTGGCAAGTACTAAATGAGGTGTTAAACCACGCCACGTTATACCTACCTTCCTTCACCTACATATCATCCTGTACAGTTAACGAGGACTGATTGAGGTGTCTCTAACTCGGAGACACAAGTAGAGCTCGCTCGAATCACTCAAGTGTTGCATCATTGGATCCCTGGTTCGTTCATCACCTTTTGACCTACACTTGAATGGGCGCTTATCCCAAGATGTACCCAGGCAAACGGCTTGAATCCGGATCCGAACCCGATGCGCATGTTTATAATTATCGCAGCATATCTTGGCACAAACACCTTTGCCACTGTGTAAAGTTACCAAATGCGCGAGTCTCCCCCAGCTACTTAACGCGCGGGACGATGTAGATATGGTCTATTGTCAATTCAGCCGTCAAAACGACAGCGATATTACCAAGCGCAATGAGAGATATCACCGAGTGCGACAAACCAATTCTTGCACTCGGAACCCAATGTAAAGTCATGTCAATAAATCTTTATATTACTGAAATGGCGTCATCACTGTCCGATTTGAACTTGAATACATGACTTATTTTGAATACGTTTTGTTTGTTCATGGGGAAACTTTCACTTTGTACCAGTTTTGCGGTACGAGCTGAGATAGCTTCAAAGGCTACGGTGTGCCACCATATCTGTTTATTTCACTTTTGCACGCTGAGACTATCACAGTATATCCCCTTCAGTGTTCCGACATCTATCCCAATATCGCACACGGATTACCACAAGTAATGAGTTTATTGCGACTGTAGTAGCGATTAAAATACAGCACCTCTCCAACGAGCTCAGGTCACGAGAAGAACTCCCGAGTCATCTCTACTACCACAGCTATGTTCTCGTCCCTCTTCTCACCCCTCTGCCATTCACCCGTTTCTCTTGCATGTACCCAGCCCAATGCTGCCACACCTCTTACTGCGCCTTCTTTCTGTCGAGGTACCGTTTGCGCTTAGCCTTGAGCTTGTTCCGCTTGATGTCCACAATCTGCTGGCGACTCTGGTTGAGCAGATGCTGTTCTTCCTCGACTTGCTTCTTGAGCATGTTGGCTCGCTCTTCCCTATCCACGGAGTACAGGACCTTCTCGTGTTGTAATCTGCGATCGTCTACACTGAACAGCGAATCTGCGCAAACGAAGCCATAGCACACATCGGGTATCCGAAGTGACAAAGAGTATTAGTGTAATACACGAATTGTGGGACCCTGTACGAACGCAATGCTTCTATGCGACCCTGAACCGGTTGGAAACCCTCAAACGGATTCATCCCACTACACAATACTGAATGGTAAGGGCATACGCTATGGTGTGGGACAATTTGCGTTCAAACTTTCAAGCCAATTATCCTACAGAGAGTGAGATCCGACTACATAATATTATAGTCTAGCAGTGACCGAAACGGATGGTGAAGCATAAACACCTTTCAAACCGATTAACATACAGAGAGAGTGAGATCCCAATAATATTATAGTCTAGTCGTGACCGAAACGGATGGTGAAGAGCATACATACCGAGCTGAGCGCGATTCCCAGGAATCTGAAGTCTGTGGGACAGGCGACGCAGAATATCGAACTGTGAGCAGAAGCCCAAGCCGTACTTGTTCTTTTTCTGTGAAAGTGGAAGACACATGTATGAGAAGACGTATTGACCGCTATATTTGCGACAAACCTTGAGTAAGAGATAGTACGGGCGTGGTAGGGCGTCCGCACTGGGCGCACTAGTCAGCAATACACATAGGCCTACCCACCGCTGTGTTATACCAGAAAACTGGCCACCCTTACAGGAGGGACGTCGTATTATAGGCTTGTAGGAGTACCGACTACCACGCGCGTGTGCTAGTTATAACTCGGCAGCGCTCACACACTCACCCGGCGCTTGACCATGGAGACGGCGTGCCAGAACTCTGAGTGTGTGATGACTCCCTTGGCTCCCGGTGTATGGAACACGTTGATCTCATCCATCAGCATGCCTTCGCTCTTGTCACTCTCGTCCGCTGGGCCGTCGTCCTTTCGGTAGAGGGGGATGTCCACCTCATGGCCTGATGTGCAGAGGATGGCTGCGGTTAGTACTGGGTGTCGATACTTACGTGTAGGTTTTTGCTACACGCATACACGTACCGTTCCGTTAAGGTTGAGTACGTTGATATCAGGCATACATGCATGCCAACTATATAGTACCCATAGGCAGCCCCGTAAGTAAGCCAGACACAAAGCACAGCGCGATAGTATGCTATCTGTGGGTCAACCACCTCACCCTCAGTCTGAGCAGGATGGGCTCTGCACGGCAACTGAAACCGGTGTTTAAGCAGACGAGGGCAAAAAATAAGGCAACAGAGGCCATTAAATAAGCCGTGACAAGCGTGAAGTACGAACACCTGCTCAAGCGGACGTCTATTTACAAGAGCCATCCCTACATAACTACGATATCATCTAGTGCGAGTATTTAGAGAACCCTCATCTAATTGCAAACCCCCGAGATAGTGCCACTCATAACAGCCTAAGCTAGCACTGGTACCAGAGAGTTCGATGTATCGTGCCATAAACCGTTGACAGCACTACTGAACAAAGAGAGAACGTAGAGACATACCACACGTAAGTCCCCACATTTTTGTGGGTATCGCATTCGCAATTATACACATCATATCTTATGCGTGCTCACCACTTGCGTGAGCGTGATCAACCTTTGTGCACAAACGATACAACACTTGCGTTAACCTGAACGATTCTAATGAACAAGCTACACATATCGTGAATAAACACAACTTACGTGGACATGAACAGCACTTGTAAATAAGCCACACATAGCTTCTGAGCGCATACCGTATGGTGCAGCGGTGGCCGCCCCCTCGTCAGCACTATCCTCCATGTCACTGATTTCAATAGTGATGTCATCCTGCGTACCATGATCACGCACTTCAAGAGCACCACTTTCAGTCAGTTCATACGTTACCAAAGGCTCACCCTGTGCGGAAAGATGTGATAAAGTCACTGAGGAGAGGAATGACAGTGTACTTGCGATATATAAACTTATAGATATATGAACATATAAATATGTAAACATATATTGTTATATTGTTATATATACATATACACACACATATATATATAATATACATATATGTATATATATATATATAAACAGATATTTACGTACGTACGTATAATGTACTTATGTATATAGGTAGGTATGTGTACATGCACGCGTGAAGTATGTATGTATGTATGTATGTATGTATGTATATTTGCATGTATGTTTTTATGCATGTGTGCATGCATGTTTTTATGTACGTATATATATATATATATATATATACATATACATATACATATACATATGCATATACATATACATATACATATACATATACATATACATATACATACACATATACATGTATATTTGTATGTACAATAACCCTAGACGCCACTAAAAAGTAGTCTACCTGTTCGTTCAACTCGACTGTACTCGTGTCCTTGGGATGTTTGGAATCGGCTTCGGTTCCCCCCACAGCTGGCTGTTCAACATGGATTGCGCCTGTTTCATCCACAAATCCGGTCTGGCCGACTGGCTCACGTTTGGGTCTCATACTGTCACACACAGAGAAAGAGAGGTGAATTTCAGCTATAGATACGAATTGGAACATATTGGCGATGTGATGTATAAGGACGCAGAACCAGGCATACGTACATATATGCAGACGGTTACATATACATATATATCTGAGCGCGCCTGAAAGGAATACGGAACATCGTGTCTGTACACTACGTGACAAGCCCTTCACAGACACACAAGTCTCAACCGCGTAGTAGGTGCCCATCCGTATCATATATCCACTCGCACACCGTTACCATAGCAACCGATACACCCCAGAAGCGCCCGGACATACTTTGCTGGGATCGAGGCGTATGCCCTCTCGCCCAGAGAGTCCTTCAGGAACTTAGTAGCAAAGCCAGACTGCTCACCCCCGTACCGGTCCCCAAACTTGTTCAGGTGCTTGAGAATGGCGTCCTCAGCCACATCGTCGATGGTGCGTGCCACCTTAGCCATCTTCTGTTCCAGTGCGGCGTGGACGGGCAGACACAGCTCATGCTCAGCTGGTAAGGGCCGGCGATAGTCGGCGAACTCGCGGTTGAGACCCATCTGTGGGGGGGTGGGGGGTTGGTGAGAACGGATTGACAGTGAGGTGTGTGTGATGTTGTGTTTGTCTCTGCGTGTATTGGATGTGTGGACATAGTGTATACATACGGGTGTGTTGTATGCTGTTTTTGTATCTGCGTGTGATAGTTACATCAATGTGAGCTTAATGTTGTGCTTTACGTGCGTGCGATAGTTACATACATGTGAGCTTAATATTGCGTTGGTATGTGCGTATGATAGTTACATATATGTGAGTTAAATGTTGTGCTTGTATGTGCGTATGATTGTTACATATATGTGAGTCTAGCGTTGTGCTTGTATGTGCGTGTGATTGTTACATATATGTGAGCTTAATGTTGTGCTTGTATGTGCGTATGATAGTTACATATATGTGAGTTTAATGTTGTGCTTGTATCTGCGTGTGATAGTTACATACATGTGAGCTTAATGATGTGCTTGTATCTGCGTGTGATAGTTACATACATGTGAGCTTAATGTTGGTGATTGTTACATACATGTGAGCTTAATATTGTGCTTGTATCTGCGTGTGATTGTTACATACATGCGAGTTTAATGTTGTGCTTGTATCTATGTATGATAGTTACATACATGTGAGCTTAATGTTGTGCTTGTATCTGCGTGTGATAGTTGCTAGGACGTAATATATACAACCGTTCTGAAACTAGACGAACGCGCAATTTAGATAAACGCATGTACCACATGTAGATACGCTACTGCTTTCCGCATCATTCCTTTCCCTTGTACTGACATTCATCCACACACCATATTGTACTAACATTCATCCACATACCTTATTGTACTAACATTCATCCACACACCTCATTGTACTAACATTTATCCACACACCTTCTTCACATTGGTCTGCAGTCTGAAGAAATACTTCAATCGTGACTGCATGGACAACTGCCGCGCCTCTCGAATCATGCGCAGAGTGATCTGTGAGTGGAGCAAACGTGACATGTGCCACGTGTTATGAGATCAGTGAGCGTCAGTCAGAGTCACTACAGGGTCGTAAGGGTAGTTAGTACGGGAAACCCATCTGTTCATAAGCCTGAGAGTGGCTGGTCAAGAATGAACCACCATACAACACCCACCACACTCTAGAATGAACCACCATACAACACCCACCACACAGGCTACAGCGGGCGATACATGGGAGACATGGACATTGGTGAGGAGGATCAGCGGGGATGAATTTGAACAGGGAAGTCGAGACGGTCAGAAAACCAAGTTTGAACGCGCACCGTACGTCAAGTTCAGCAGAACACATTTGGGTTGAGTACACAAATTGTTGTTTTAAGGTTTTAGCTAGAACCCAAAGGATGATTGATAGGGGAGCGATTGTAGGATTTCATAGTGATCTCTACCACGCGAAAGTGTCAACTATAATCCAGCTCAGAGATGAGACGCACGCCAACATGGTATCAACGTGATGGCTTTAGATCAGAACGCCATATAACACTCTGCGACGCACAGAAAAAGAAGGCCAATACGCATCACCATACTTCGACATCCGGTTGATTGGTCTGAACAGAAGCACTTGTCTACCGTAAATACCTATAATGTATATATCTATATAGGTTATATTGCATACAAATAGATCCACGATAGCAACCAATGTCCACTACTGAGCACGAAGAACATAACACAATACATATATCTGTACCAACTCCCCACTTAGATACCTCAAGTTCCTTCTCGACCTGTGGGTCGAGTAAGTTGTGTCTGATTTGGTTGTAGGTGTTGATGGCAAACTGCTCGTGGCTGTTGTGGACTTCGCTCATGAGTGTCTCCTCGTCGATCATAGTCGGCATTCTGGCCTCCATTCTACTCCCAGTTTCGAATAGAAGAGATAGCGGGATAAGAGCACGATGAGCATTTCTTTTTATAGCTTTATATGTCTACCACTTCTCGAATACACTCAAAACACCAGTAAACCTCCACCCAACCCAGTTCAAAGCAGTGTAATGATATTAGAAGTGTGCGAACGTTGGGTTACCCCTCTGCAGCCATTGGGTACTGCAGACTTCCACAGTGGAAGGGATAGTGGCGGTAGGCAGAAGCTTTGCATGTTTGCGTACACTTTTATCTGTGCAACAAGTGAGAGTTATACTTGTAGTTCAATATATATAGGAACGGAGGCAATGTGTACAGAGAAACACTATCACAGCGTGCCTCCTATATAGAGGTTCGGGGGTGAGAGTGCAAGTGTGAGTATATATATATATATAAAAAAGCGAAAGTCACGAGCCGAAACAAGGTGCCACACACAGAGTCAAAAGCTCTATTGAAATGCGACTTGGACGTAGTATGTATAGCCCAGGAGTACAACAGACACGGCACCACTCCACCAGCGTGTAGGTAAGGGCATAGAGTTGAGGGTTTAGGGTTCTAGGGTTTTCAGCTAGAGCCGTATCAGACCTACATTTCACGAGATCGAGTGACCTTTTTGAGACTCTCCATGACTTCGTGGATGGTTGTGTGTCGCGAGTGGAACACTGATTTGATCATCTCCATTTTCTGAGTGAGGTGAGAGGGACAAGAAGACATCAGAAGACGGGACCATTGTGGTGAGGGTAAGAGTTTTAGGGTTTTGCCTGCCGCAACCAACGCGCATATACGTGTCAGGCCACATATGTAGAGCTGTGGACAAGTATATACTGCTGTCAGGTTGCTCGTAAGGTGTGAGTGGCTCCCCTTGATTAAACCGTGGCATGTGTTCTCCCGATGGAGCTGCTTTCGTCCAGCTGCGTATTCGACCGGACCAATACACACCACGAGGGAAAGCTCTGAACAGCACGTGCCAGCTACACAACAAGTCATCTCCGATATGATGCAGCACGTGCCCACTAAACAACAAGTCATCTCCGATATGATATGAAGTTCACTGTGCAGCTGAGGCCTGCGTGTGCGCACAGACAGAGTGCACCCCGTCTAACGCATTCGATTCCTGAATAACGTATAGGACGACGTCCACGAGCGATCACGAAACGTATTGTTATTGCCGTTAGACTGTGGCCCGGTATACAGCGTGATACGCACACAAGTACACTACACATATAACCACACTCAAGACAGCCAGGATACCGAACTACCCACATGATGACATGCACTACACTTCCAGGAATAAAGCATGCCAATGTCGCCCTGCACCGGCGTTTTGATGGTGTTTATCTACATGGGGTTTATCTACCTCTGCGGTACTACGACCATTTCAAGACTCATATAAAAACAGCTAGTAGTAGCAAGCGATCGCACACACGCCCCACAACACACTCGTAAATTTTGCTCTCACACAAACACACACAAACACACACATATATATATATATATATACATACACACGCACACATATATATACATACATATATATATATATATATATATATATATATATATATACATATATACATACATACATACACACACACACATATATATATATATATATATATACATATCTATGTATATATATATATTCATTCACAAATAATTCGTACCATGTCATATGTAGAGTTACTTTTACCGTCCACAATATCCTGAAGTAGCGACTACACACCATACAACGCCCCGAACATCCTAAATATACATAATATATATATATATATATAACATACACACGCACATATATATATACATATATATATATATGCGTATATATATATGTATATATATATATATATATATATATATATATATATATATATATATAAATATAAATATATCTATATCTATTTATATATATTCATTCACAAATAATTCGTACTACGGTGTAGGTAGAGCTACTTTTACCGTCCGAAATATCCTGAAGTAGCGACTACACGCCATACAACGCCCCGAACATCCTCGTAACTTGACACAACTTGGCACATTGACACAGACTTAACCAGTACACTACACAGCGAAGCAATCCCCTATCACACAACACACAAACCCCGTCCACACGCATAGTCAAATACCTTAAAATCCAAGGTGCCGTCGGCGGGCCCGGCTTCGGCGAACTCGCACAGTACCGCCTGGATGGTATCCGGTGAGATAGACAGTAGCATGGGCAGGCGCTGGTACAAGAGCTCTAGACGCTCGTAGGGAACATACACGGTTGAAAGACCACTGGTGAACAGATCTTGTCCGTGCAGAGTGGCGCCTGGGTGGGATGTGGGGTGTGTGAGGTTGCAGGGGCAATGGAGGGTGAAGCATGAGCAAAGACAACAGTGAGACGGGGAGAGGGGGTGAGATCAGCTGTGGGTGTGTGTGCAGTGGGACGGGGGAGAGGGGGGCAGATCAGCTGTGGGTGTGTGTACAGTTGCGAGTACTGTACACCTGATGAAAAGATCATGGTGACCACTGTATGAGCACGGTAGATACGCCCCTTGAAGGGTAGGATACCCCATAGAATACGCTCTAAATGAAAGTATTAGTCATAGAATACGATCACATTGCACGCGGAAAACGTGCACGTTTGTGCGAGATGCTCAAGCAATTACACAACCGTGGACATAATGGCGCACAGTGCATGACTCCCGTCAGCTGTTTAGAACACAGCCTCGCAATTATCAAGGAGGTGTGCACATCCACTGGCGTACGCACCAACACGCATGTACCTGTCGATAACACTCGTCCCATGCATACTAAGCATGTGTAGACATCAATGATCTCTAAGTAAACTATGCAGAGTTCAAGTAAACTATGCAGAGTTCAAGTAAACTATGCAGAGTTCAAGTAAACTGTCATATCAAATAAAAGAAGAAAGTGGGGACATTCGCGCCTATACAGTACACGGGCGGAGGCATAGGTAGACATCCTGCGAAGGCCCATATACTGACAACCCAGCTCATACGCACGCGTACACATCCAGCTCCCACGCACACATACGCAACCAGCTCAGGTACATCAGATGTGAGGTGCGGTGTGCTGGAGACACATACCTGTCAGTACCAGATACTCGGCCATATAGTTATCCAATGAAGCCAGCAGCGGTAACATGCCACCGTGCACTAGCCCGGAACTGCGCCGAAGTCGTGGGTGGGAGTGGGGTCGGCGTGTATGTGTGATCATGGAAGTGGGTCAGAGTGTATATGTGATAATGGAAGTGGGTCAGAGTGTATGTGTGATCATGGCAGTGGGTCAGAGTGTATGTGTGATCATGCGCCCTATAGTCATTGGGTGGTGGTGTACGCAGGTGGTTTGCGATTTCACAGAGTATACATGCAGTGGTTTGAATGCGACCCCTCGCTTAGAAGATGAGCAAAGGTGTGGTATATCTAGTTCGATGGGATGGGCATGGCGCGATGCGGATGTGTGAGTTTTAAAGAGAATAGCCTGTGGTGGCATACTATTAGTGTGGCCTGGTCTGTAGACCGGAATCTATTTTGTGACAGGGGGCTCCAATACATCATGCATGGATGGTACAACTATATATATATATATGTGCGAATATGGGAGTGCACACTTCAAAATTGTGTATTACTTGATTTGGGCCCGGGGCCGAACTATTACCATCTACATGTAGATGACAACTGACATATACAACGGCACCTGTATTTGTGGCATCTATATCTAATACATGTGTTTGCACTAAATACGTCAATATTGGATTTATAACTGTATATATAATATATATATATACATATATATAGACTCATACTTTTGACTTCTGGCCTGGAAGGACGAGTTGTTAGTGGCTACGCGGTGGTAGCAACTAGCAGCCACAGCAGCGCCAGCATCGGTGACATGGCCCTCTATCACAGCAAACACAGGCCGTGAATGCAGCAGGTCATCGCACAGCTCAAACTGGTTGCGCAGCGCCAGGCTGTTCGTCTTGCTAATGGAATGCTCACTCTCTAGCAGTGTGGGGCCTTTGTTTGCGGGTTCTTGACGTAGGACTGTGTGAGTTAGACAGTATGGATGGGGGTGAACGATAACGTTGGAGAATGTATCGAACTTCAAAATGACGCATGTGAATACGAGTAGTTTGAGAGTGTCCTAGAAAGATACAAGCGCATCTGGTTGTGTGGAAAGTACAAACAATGACACGTCTACTTGCCCGCAGCTCTGATAACACATGAGTCCCAATATATATATATATATATATATATGTATATATATATATATATATATACATATGTATAATAANATATATATATATATNTATATACATATANATATATATAT